CTGCGTCCCAGAAAAAGAATTTTCATACTAAAATTTGTTTTGCAGTTGAGTAGTGTTGTATCAAAATATTACATTTAATTTGAAAACAAATTAAAACTCCCTCAATCTCCTAAGGCTTGTGTGAGGAATATACAGGATATCCCAAACAGATGTATATGCACACATTCAGTGAATGAGATAAAGACATTATAATAAACTAAACCATTATGTACATCAGCATTGCCTCTTTGTAAATTAACAAATCTAATTTAGATGTTCAAAATCAACACTGTTAGCTTCATTGCACAAAAATATTCTCTTTGTGTGTTAAAGAATACAAAAGTAAAGCACATTCGGATAACATCCACAGAAAAATTAATAAAATTTTCAAAGAAATTTTGGTTGCATTTTCTTAATATTTGAAGGGATTCTTCAAAATTAATCACTCATTACTGAGCAGTTATAACGTTATTCTCAATGTGTGAAAATATATTTTAATATGATTAAAGTGGTACATTTCTGAAATATGAAATATCAAGATCTTCGCAAAATACTAAAGAAATATAATTACACAAACAAACAATAATTCTGTCTTTATTAGAAATTACCTGATATATTGACAATAAAGTTCATTACAAAATATTTTCTGACTCATGCTCTTTTCCCATTCAGTATTGAGCCTAGAGAAGGATAAGAAAAGTTAGCACCAATCAAGCACAAGGAAATTATTATTTTATAGTTTTCCTTTCATTCAGATTTAAGACTTTAAATTATGGATCTTCTGATGTAACTTAAATTTGCCAAAAAAAAAAATACACACACACGTGCGTGTCTTCAGGGGTAAGGGTTTAGAGATACCTAGTTTAGCATTATAACTAGTACAATCAAGTTGGCTTAAAATCCAACAATCAGTCAGTCAATCAGTAGTACTGACTAAGTTGTGGAAAAGTTAGCAATTTCCTCTGCTTCAGAGATAAGAGCAGTTTCTTATAAGCATGAGATTATATTTAACATAGATTTTCAAATGTAAAGAAAAATTATGAACTGCATGTATTACACTTTGTGACATTCTATTTCTGGTTATTAAACTAATAAAATTGTTATAAACTTTCAGACAAACCTAGCAAACCTGAAGGTCCAATTGTTGTGAAGGATATCCGTAAAGAATCAGTAACCATTGAATGGAAACCTCCTGCTGATGATGGTGGCCTTGAGCTTTCAAAATATTCTGTTGAAAAGTGTGATGTTGAGAAAATGGTGTGGATGAAGGTAAATAAACGTTTCAAATATACTCACTGTTTGAGCCAGTAATATGTCATTTTACCATTGTCATAAAAAGTTATCTGCTATTATTTATAATAGTGTCTCTTATAACCCTAAACCATTTTCTTTTATATTTTAGCATTTCAGTGTGTGTACTGCAATGTGTACATTTTGTTTTTAATGTCTGTTCAGATATATGTAATGCAGGTAATTTTAAAAGTACTGTCAATTTGTGAACATTGTCATGATTTATCATATTATTTACAAATATGTTTATGGTTAAGAAAAAAATATAAACAAATTTTGTGTCATATTGTAAAAGTTATAATTTGAAAAACTTGTAGCATATCCAGTCTATTGGTCAAGAGTTTCAGAAAAATTTACAGATTAAGATTCTGTAGCTAGAATTTAGATATAAAATGTAAATTTTTGTGAAAAGTTACTCTCTAAATGTTTGGCTAAATTGTTGTTCTCTTATAGAGATTTAAAATAGTATGTCCCTCTGGAAAAATGGTATGAAAAAAGGAACCAAACATATGCAGCTGAGTAGTTAACATTCCTTTTTCATGCTCAGAAGGTGCTGGGTTCATATCCCTGCCCAGAGACCAGCTATTTTGATTGAGGTCTCTCATGATTTTACTTAGTCTCTCCAGGCAAATTTTGAAAGTGTTCCATAAGTGAGGCTATGACTTTCCTTCCATATCCTTTCCAATTCATTACATATTAATCCCATTACAACATATATTCTGAGTTACTGACAGCATTATTAAATAAAAAAGACTAAGGCATTCTAGAAGTTTGATTTTATTTATTCAGGTTGCTGATGTGGAAAAAGATGTCTCTTCATACTGTGTCCAACGCCTTCGTGAAGACTCAGAATACATGTTCCGTGTGATTGCTGAGAATCCTGTGGGAACATCTGAAGCATTAGAGAGTGAAACAGTTACAGTTCGCAGCAAGTTTGGTCAGTACCATCTTTTAGAACTCTCGGAATGATCCTAAAGTAGCAGATACAATTGCAGTATTTGTTTAACCCTTGCTGCATCTCATAACATTAAACCATTGGAGTCTCCAATAAATGCCTTGCTGCTTGACCTGGAGTAAACATTTAAATCACAGGGACAAAGCAGGTATCATGGCAGATATCTGGTATTATGGCTATCCAAGAGTAGAGCACCATTGAATACCACAAAAAACTAATTTTGTCACATGTGATACTATTTTAGATCACTCAGTTTATTGACAGGTAAGACAAAGAATACACATACCTTTTCTTTCAAACATAGAATAACATGATAGAAGAACTAGAAGTATGGCTGCTATCTATGCTGCAAACTTATAAAATTATTAGACAGATAAAAATAATTTTCATAAGAAAAATTGTATGTTGCTTCCTTTTCCAGACAAACCATCATCACCACGTGGACCATTCGATGTGTCCGGTATGTCTGACACTTCCTTCACACTGGCATGGCAACCCCCGGAGACTGATGGAGGGTCTCAGATTCTTGAATATATTGTGGAGAGAAGGGAAGTTAACAAGAAAGCCTGGCAGAAGGTATGTGACTTCTGTATCCAAACCTCTAGGTTGAATACAACAGAAAGAAAACTATTCTTATAATATGGTGAAGATGTTGATGAGGATTGAAATAAGCTTTTTTTATAAGCTATTCCAATACAAGATTTTGAAAAACTTTATTTGAAATAAGAAAACAGTTAAATTACAATACATTTTTGTTATCATTGTATGGTAGTACAGAGTTGAAAATTTGCTTTGGGAACGTAGAAAACATTGTCTGCTGATGCAATGAACTGTGAAAACTGAATGTGAACATTTATTTGTACTTATTCCTGTAATATAAAGTTTATAAATAAGTCATAACTGCTTTGTCCACACCTTTCCACTTTATCATTTACCATCATCCTCCCATTTGACACTACATGACTTAGCAGTTTAGAAATAGCATTAAATAAAGAAACAAATACTCATACTGCTGTAGAGCTTCTACCCCTTTCCAGTGAAGTCTGGTAAAACAACATCTTAATGAAATTCATAATTACCTTGTTGCATAGCCATGTGCATTTGGTATGGAACATGTGTTGCAGGTGGGCATCACAACTGCAGAAGAAACATCCATTGAAGTAACAGGCCTGAAAGCTAACACTTCATATCATTTTCGAGTTACTGCAAGAAATGACATTGGGCACAGCCTTCCTTATGCCCCTGAAGAACCAATCACTGCTGGTAGAAGAATAAGTGAGTATAATTTTACTTTCTTATTGCAGAAAACCTGTTATTACATTTTTTGTTGTTCCTTTCACTCCATGATGACTCCAAGATGTTTAGATTTTGCATAAATAATCATGTTTTAGTTTTCAAGTAGTGACAACAAATTCATTACGTTACTTACATTTTGAACCACTTTCTTTGTGAAGTTTATTTCTAATTAACTTTTTCTTTATTGTCATTTCTTAAATTATTCTGAGCCATTTAAAATATAACCAACACATATTACCCACTAGAATAAATACCTATAGGTCCATCATCAGTGTAAAATAGTAACATTTTCATATGCTTTTACTTAATAAATCTCTACTTCTAATAGCTGCAATATGTGACTAACATATATCAACTATGGCTGTGGTCACGTATGTACCAGACCCCCCACCCCCCATACCCACCTTAGTTTAAATTTATTTAGCCATGTGTCAGCTTGTGCATGACCCAGCTGGTCATGCATTGCAGTAACATGCCACTAAACCCCAGTATTACAGACTGGCTAACAGCTCTGTAGCATGGGGATTTAAATATTTTATTCCTATACAATATAGATTTATATAAAAGTTGTTACATTTTAGGAGTGAATTTAAATCCTTTCTAACTTATTTTAACACTGTACCTTGAAGTACTGTTACCTTACTCACAGAATATTTTTGTTACATCATTTTAATAATCAGTCACCACAAACAGTGCATTCAAACCCCAGTATGGACATACTGCTGTAGACTTCAGTTCAGCATACTCATTTTCTGAGCATGTTCTATAAAATGTTTCTTGCCTCACTGGTGGCATTGATTTTTTATGCAAATCTAGTAGCAGAACAATTGAAATGTATTTATTCTTCATATCTCAAAATTCAAAATTGTATAGGATATCTCCTTTTTCCCACAAATAAATCGATTTTAATGGTTTTTTCATGTACAGTGCTTTAAAAATTCATATTGAGTTCATTTTCAGAAAAGAAGGAATTGCACAAATATCATCTATAATTTATTACTAGCCAACTTTACAAGAATTCAATCCCAGCAGTTCCACCTGTATGTCTGTAATGTGAAATTCTCTCTAAACAGATTTTTATTAAACTTTGTATGAAGATGTTTACTATATCCAGTTACCAAAATATGGAACAACTGTATAAACAAGCATGTTCAAAATGAACTTTACTTTTATTAAGTACTCTCTTTATATGCAGATGATCCCAATGTCATACATAATTAAATCTGTGTTTATCATTCATTTCAGTTTTTCTATGTGTGTATATTCTTTAGTCCTAATTGCTGCTTCACTAAAACTAGCATGCATAAGCTGTTCTGAAAATGTTGGTATGGTATTGTCTGTGTTCTTTGCTTGTTGTTTCTTAGGAACCAAACGTTCTAAATCATCTGT